AGATTGAGATATTTAAAAATACACAAAAAGTGAAAGAATAAAACACATTTATTATACTGGGGACAATGGGCACAGACAGGGCTTCAGTCTGCTGGTCAAACTGGGAGAACGCCAATGACTTCTGAGATGTCCTGGCACACAGGCTAAAGCTGTGTACCAGGAATAAAAGGATAAAAGAGAAATTACCCAAATGTGTAATAGAAATACATATATTTTTCCTTCACATTGAGAAAAAAGACATTTCAGCATATTGGGGCTCTGACTTGTAGCATCTTTATAGCATAGCTAAATACCAACATTGTGAAGCTGAGCTGTGAAACAGAGATTGAAGAACAGCAGCTCCAGCTCTGACCCTAGAGTCAAATGGGGAAACGTGAAGGAAAGTAGATACTTCTGCAAGGCTTGGTGTGTCTTGACTTGAACAACAGAAATTTAACCCACCGACAGTTTGATCATGAAGCTTTCATCTCTCATCCTGATAAGATCTCCTCTGACCCTGATCCTTATGGGACCCTTTCTGACCCTGATGGATGAAATCCATTTCCATCATGTTGGGATCCTGTGTTCTCTCTGAATTTGACTGGATCTGTTTTGATCCTGATCTGCTCCTTTCTCATCCAGATGTGACTCAAACCTATTTTCTGTATTCCTGCAGGTCTCACCTGCTCAGCTCTGCAAATCCTCCCATCTCCTGTCCTGTGGTTATGTCTTCTGTGGATTCCAGTGGGGATGGCGGGAAGTGGCTGGATGCCCACTACGACCCAGTGGCTGGTCTCTACACCTTCTCGTCCTGCATAGACCTGGCAGATCTTAGCGGGGACAGGGAGAGCCGACTCGTGGTCGGGGACCTGGGCACCGGCTCATCAGGCATGAAGCTTAAGGTCTACCGTGGCACGGCACTCATAAGTGAGAATAGCCTGCTGGACCTACCTGCTGGCCTGGTTGCCTTTTTCATGGACCTGCATGAGCCCCGCATCCCCGCCGTCGCCGTGGCCTCTGGACCATGCATCTATGTCTACAAGAACCTGCGGCCATACTTCAAGTTCACACTTCCGAGCCTGGACATCAACCCATTGGAGCAGGTGGTTGTGGCTTCTGTTACATCCACAGAGAGAGAGTTAGGATCATAGAGAAGCTGGGTCACAGCATATTAAGTTTGAGAATGCAATGGTTTATTTTTAATTTCTATATAATTAATTTTAATTACCATTTCTGCTGAGTTTATCTTTCGAGATAGGAATTCAGTGCTTTTGACAGGGACGAAAGATTAGGACAATTCCAAGGCCCCCTGACCGACAAGGGGCCCTCCACAAATTTTTTGTTGTTGTTGTTCATAGAAATTAAAAAAATTTGGGGCCATGTCAATTATAAAAATCATATTGTGTTTTCTAAAATTGTTTTTAGCAGTAAATATCAACTGTTACAATACCACTCCCAGACCAGAAAGCACACATTCATATTTGCACTGTTTGCCTCCATTTCACTAGCATTCAATGAACGAAGGAAATAAATTACCAACATTTTCATATATTTAACGTACCCCTGTACCTTTTACCACACTTAACAACAGATGAGTCAGACAGCAGCGGCTCTAACCCACGTCCCTCCTAGCCTGTCCTCTCTTAAGTGAAATTAAAGCTGCAGTACGTAACTTCTATAAAAAAATTTTTTTTAACATATTTGTTAAAACTGTCATTATGTTGTGACAGTATGGCATGAGAGATAATCTGTGAAAAATTTATTTCATTTGCCTTTTCCCAGTGCTATCTAGAAACAACTAATCAGAGGCAGGAGGTGGGTTTTAGCGATGTAAATCACAATCTTGTGTGGCTGCTCAGCCTCCTTCCCTTTGCCCTGTGCTATACTGTAGCTAGCAATAAGTTTTACAATGATAAGTTGTTTCTCCACCATCAGCACATTTAGTAGTGAGCGAATGAGGTTGATTGACAGCACTAAGACCTCCTCCTGATTTTGATTGGTTGTTTCTGGCCAGAAAATTGTCTTACTTTAGCCAGTAATAGCAGTTCAGGGAGGAGGGGGAGGAGATTGATTATTTCACAGATTATCTGTCTCGTAACAAATTGTCACGAGATGGTGCCAGCTTTAACAAATATGGAGAGAACATATTTTTTTTTATTAAAGTTATATACTGCAGCTTGAATAAAATGCAACTATATAGTATTTTATGAGAAGTCTGGATTGCTTCATGTATATTTTGCACGTTGCCTATGCCCTGTGCCTATAACTGTTGCACGTGGGGAGAAACATTTCAGTAATCTAAAACTGATAGAAAAAAATTTAAGCAACCTACTAGTCTGTAAATATTTGCAAGAAATATTTACAGACTATTTCTTGTAAATTTCACTAGCAGTGAATATTGTGCTAGTATCAGTATTGAACCAGAGAAAGTAAGGCAGTTGCAAGCCTTTAAAAATTGTGACACTATTGATGGGCCACATAGACTCAAGAAATTGTAACAGTAGCTGCGCAAGATTCCTGGCGACACCCCTGGCTTTTGATGAAGCAATAAGTTTAAAATTTTCACAATAATCACACTATAAATTTATCTTATTGAGTATGTGACCAACTGCTGTGCTCTGATTGGTCAGGATGTGTGGCAGCAGGTAAGGGAGGGTCAAATCAACCCTGTGATGCTGAAGGAGATGCTGGAAAGTATCAGGAAGAAGGCAGACATCCCACTGTCCGTCCGATCGCTCAGGTTCCTGTCTCTGGAGTCTGATGAGATGGACGAGTTTGTTCAGCTGTACAAACAGCAGCCAATCAGGCGGCAGGTAATGCTACTTTTGTCATCATGCAGGCCAAATTTGTGAACGCTGCTGCTCCCCTCTCCAGTTTGACCAGTACCTGTTTCCTCAAAACTGGACATGGACTACATCAGCAGTCGAGCAGGTGCAGGAGAACCAGTGTCTCTGCCACTTGCTCAGTAACTCATTCATTATTATATTAAATTATTCTTACTGTATCATCTGTAATTATCCCACTCAGTGTTTCTTAGCCATTGATTTTTTTTAAAGTTTAAATGAAAAGCAGGAGATTCACACATTTCTGTATTTCTGAAATTCACACATGTAATTCATTATGGGATTCCACACAGTCCTGAAAGAAGTTCATTTCTTCTAATACAGTTTAAACTACCTATAGGGTCCACATGCAAGTTTAACTCATATCGGTTCCATTTAATGTGAACCCAGAACTGTTTGACCTCTGAGAAACCAGTGTGTTCATTGATTGTGTTCTTTCAGACGGTCATCACCTGCATCGGAACTCTAAAGAAGAGCACAGCCGATGAGGACGGGATTAGCTGTTTGGTGATTGGTACAGAGAACAGCGACATCTTCGTCCTTGACCCTGAAGCTTTCACCATTCTCTGCAAGGTACACTCTAGTTAGCTGGTTTAAACCAGTCTCTACTAGTTCTAAACTGGCTTGACATGACTCGAAATTAGTCTGACCTAGTTTTTAACTGGTCTGAAAACATTTAGATGACTCTAAACTTGGTTGAGCTAATTCTAATTAGAAAAGTGCAGCGCACAAAAAAATTCTCTGTTTCTCTGCTGGCCTGGGAACGCCTTGGAATTCCTAGAGGAGCTGGCCCAAGTGGCTGGGGAGAGGGAAGTCTGGGCCTCCCTTTGAGGACTGCTACCCCCGCGATCTGACCCCGCATAAGCGGAAGAAGATGGACAAAAAGATTCTGATGTATAAATCCGTGCCTACGGACATAACTGCGCACCTTTCCTTTATAAATCCCAATTTGCAGGAAATGGACCGTAGCTACTGGTCTGCCCTGTCACCACCCATAACTACATTAGTATAAGTACCCAGAAGGCTACCACCAATTAAAGCAGTAACCATGGCAGCGGTCCTTGCTTTTACCAGTACAAGTATTTATAATAATTATGTAATTTATTTAAAAGGTGTTTTCTGGGCACATAAGGTCACCTCACTAAAATTAAAAATAATACATAAAAAAATAACAAAATTCCAAATAGAAAGAAAAGAAAATAGAGATCCAAGTGAAAATGCTTGTTTGAACAGTGGAACGTTCAGCCGGGATTTTAAAAAAAAGACGGCGTGTCAGAGAGAGGGGAATGTCGAAGTTTATTCTAAATAGGGGAATCATGTGCATAAGTTGCACATTTAAAGAATGGAGATCCTTTCTGTCCATAAAGGCACATTCACAAAGTGGGCATGGCTCGACTGAAGGGTGACTGTGACCTGTCAGCAGTTCCAGCTGCACTGGTGAAGCACTGCTCCTTCTTTAAGTTTTGCTCATAGCTCCAGGATGATCAGTCTGGGCATTCTAAACCATCATCAACACATCCCAGCAGATCAATATGGTTTCTGAACAAAGGCTCCCTCCGAATCCTCCGAGAGTGATTTTCTCCATCAGAGTCAAAACGCTCCACAATTACTCGGCATACCTTTGTGCAGCTACTTATATATGTGTGATTATCTACACACCTCGATCACCTTAAACATAATCAAACCAGACCTGTTTTGAGCTGATCCAACCCCGCTTTCTTATTCAGTGAGAATGAAATTAACCTACAGATAACATGTATTTCATGTGCTTCGGCGTATAGACCAATGTATTACATCTGACAAAAACTGAGAAAATTTACTATTTACATTTGAGTGGCGTTTTCAGATCCTTTTACTTTTATTTTGTTTATTTTGTGTGTGTGTGCGCGTGGGTTTAATGCTTCTTGATCTAAATCAGTGGTCCCCAAACTATGGCCCG